AAAAATTATCATAAAATCATCTATTTATCATGGATATTAATTGAAAATTCAGGATTCATTTTTATTCAAATTAAATTTAAAATCTAAAGATCAATTAGAATTATAGAGCATTAACTACAAAAAGTATTTTAAAATATAGATATGAAATAAACATTAAAATCAAAGGGAAAAAATCTAAGAAAATCTGAAAAGTAATTTTTGAACATCACAAAGATTATTTTCCCCAAGTAATTTTTTTCTTTCAAGCAACAATTTCTAAATTACATACATTATGAATTGGAAAATCATACAGATCTCAAATTCCACAGACAGCTGTCTTAATAATTCTGTTTATCTTTTTCTTAGTTAACAGTGTCTGCTATTATTAATTCCATTTGATTTGTTTTACATATATGAGTTAGTTTCTACTTTATGTAACAAATAAATAAAAGAAAAAACAAAGTCAGCAAGATAGAACTTTAGTTTTCTACATAACTTTTTGAAAATCTGTGTAAGAAACATTTGTTGCTTATAAAGTCCATAAAATTGTGAGAGAACCTAACTACTTTAAAATAATAGGTTTACAACCTTCTAGTTGTCATCCAACGTAGCTCCTAGTATTCTGGCATAAATGAATGGCCTGTTAATGTTATAACTACCAAATAAGACCTTTAAAAGATAGTTACTTGTAGTTTGTGCAATATACAATTGAAAGTCTAAAGAAATATCTCAAAAGCAATTTATAGCTTATTTCTGTAAGCATAGCATCATAATATTACTCTTTTTAGATTGTTTTCTGGATCATGTACAATAAATCCAAAAATAGCAGGTGATACTTAAAGTCTAACATCTCCAGTATTACTAAAAGCCAGAATTAACTGTGCTGGATAAAAGTAACTAGGTAATATGGTACATGTTCAGTGCAAAGGTGATACTTTGGGAGTACATTTTATATTTCAACTATAACATTCAGATTATTACACAATCACTGGATTCTTCAGCTTAGCTCTTTCTTTCTTTTTTTCTTTCTTTCTTTCTTTTTTTCCTTTTCTTTCCTTTTTTTTTTTTTCAGAGAAAAGATCTTGCTGTGTAGTCCAGGATGGTTTTAAAATCATGGCAATCCTGCTTCAGCCTCTGAAGTGCTGGGAGTACAAGCATTTGCAACCACACCCAGAAATTTGACTTTTATATGGTAGTTTCCATCAGTAATCTTTAAATATTTTTTTTTTAGTTTATAAAAATTAATTTTATTAGTACATACCTATAGTACATAAAGTTTACATTCACCTTTGGGAGTAGGTACATGTACATAACATATCTTCATTTTTTGTTGTTGTTTTCATTGAGTTTATTGATCCTTTTTACGTATACAGTACAGTTACATTCATTATTGGGATCTTGTACCTTTACATGACAGGTCTTGGTTCTCATTTTTTCCCCTTACCCCTACCCTTCCTTCACCCGCTCCACCCTCCCCTGCTTAGAGAGACTTTGTTTTTGTTTTGTCCTTTTATCATATTTTTTTCTTCCCTTATTTCCTTTCCCCTACCCTTCCCACTTCCCTACACCATTGAACCTTATTTTCCTATTTCACATTATCAGTTATACACTTTGGATCTTACTTACACCTTTAGCTTTTCACACTAGATAAGCTGTTCAGCATTTACACGTGTGCCCTATTTATTTCACTTAAGCATATGGCCTCAATATGCGCCCATTTTCCTATGAATGACTCTAGTTTCTCATTCTTTATGGCTGAGTAGTACTCCATTTTGACAGGAAGAATCAAAATAGTGAAAATGACCATATTTCCAAAATTGCTATACAGATTCAATGCCATCCCAATTGAAATTCTAACAGCATATTTCACCAAACTAGAGAAAATAATCCCAAACTTCCTTTGAAACAAGAAGAGACCTAGAAGAGCAAAAGCAATTCTAGGCAACAGAGACATGATCACAATCCCCAACATGAAACTATACTACACAGCCACTGTCATAAAAACAGCATGGCACTGGCAAAGAAAAAGACCCAAGGATCAGTGGAATAGATTGGAAGATACAGAAACAACTCCAGATGTACTCAGCTTCCTCATCTTTGACATAGAAATATTTCTTATTTGTTCTCAAAACAAAAAATCAAGCACAAGAAAATATTTTGTGAAATATATTATAAATTTGAATGAATTTGTCTCTCTAGGGTTCCCTCAAATTAAAGTTCCTAGTCTGGAAGGAAATGAATTTAACAACAAAAGACTGGACCCCTATAAATATAGCTGGGAAGGTTTTTAGGCTATTAGCTTAGTATATAAAGTCAATATTAGTTCCTTATCTAAGTAGTTCCCATGGCAATCTAATTAAATTTGTATTATTTTTAAAAACCAAGGCTTTGGCTCCCTAATTGATTTAACCAATTATAATCAGGTAAAATAAGACAGATCCTTGTTAAACCCATGTACATAACTATATTACCAAGAAAAGTAAAGACAATGAAACATTTGGAAAACCAGGAAGTCAGTGAGAATATTTTTAGAAGTTTTGTTTCAGCTTACAAAAGCAGAGTTTATTAAACTCGCTGGAGTTGCTATTAGTTTAAACAAAGACTGGACTTCATAGCATATCCAGGAAATATAAAAATAAGACAATATTCCAAATGCATTCCTACAGTAAAAATTTCTTCATCAGTCGACTAAGATCTATTTGATTCACTTTTGGTCTGCTGGATCTTGTGTTACCAGCTTCACAGAAACATCTACTTTTCAATGAAAACAAGTAGTAGAAAATCAGACACTTCCACTGGTATAATTCGAACACTAACTTTTTCTTTAAACCCAGATAGTAAATATTTTACAATTTGTAATCCAGATTTCTTGTCTCAAACCAAGCAGTAGATATTTATGGGAAGCATAAATCCCCACTCTAAGTCACTGTTATGGCTTGAATCTAGATGTCCCTCCAAAACTTCATGCAGTCATAGGTGAAGCTTTTCTAGTATGGTTGTATCTAGAGTGCATGATGTCAGGATCAAGGATGCCGTGCTGGGATTGATTCATAGTGTGATGCTAGGATGAAGGGTGCCCCACCCTGACTGTGAGTACTACCTGCCCTATGGGTGGGTATCCTGGATAAGGGACAGAAAGAGGGCTGCTGCTGTGGTTGCTGCTTGTTGCTTGCTGCTTTCTACTTCACTGCTTTTCTGCCTTATGCCTGTCATTATTGTTTCTCCTCTGTGATGCCCCTCAGCCAGGCCATCTTACCTTGGAGCCAACCCTTTGTGGACTAAAACACCTACACACTGTGAGCCAAATAAACCTTTCCTCCTTTAACTTTGGGTGTGGGGTATTTTGACTCAACAGCAAAAAAAAAAAAAAAAAAAAAAAAAAAAAAAAAAAAAAGACAACAATGCAGAATGAGCTTTGATACATCTGAGTACTGTAAGGAAAAGGAGTCTGTAGAGGCAGAGAGAAAACAAGATAATGGCCTTTCTAGCCAAGCCTGAGTAGATAGAGTTAAAACTTTACTAGAGAAATTCCCCCTGGAAATAAGGACGGAGGTGGAGAAAGAGAAAAATCAAATAGAAAAGACACAAGATATCACAGGTTTCATTAAGGAGTAACCAGAGAAAGGGATAACAGATAGAGTCAAGTACACAAAGTTAAACGTTGAGAGAGCTGTCTGTCCCTCCCCACCTCCAAAACAATGCAGGGGAAACAAAGTAGGGGTGGGTGACTAACTTTGGGAGAAGCTCTTATTCAGTATGCATTCATCCTGATGGACACACACACACACACACACACACACACACACCTCACTCACTACTCTAGGGCAGTGAAGGTGACCAAGTACCTACCCTAAACCCACTTATTTATCTCAAAGTGCCAACACTATCATTAAACCAGAATACTCAGAAATTAGTTTAGAAAAAGCAACTCATACATTAACTTCATTTGTCTAAAGAGAGAACCACAGTAACATGCATGACAGGTTTGTCACCACTGCACTGGGGTCACTACACTAATCACTCTGGAATCACTATTTACTACAATAGGTATCCACACAGACCCCTTCATAACTATAAGCTAACCATGAATAGGAACACTCCCTTGACAACCAGCTGCCCACCCTGGAAACACGACCTTTTCAAAGAAAAGTGAACAACAGAAAAAGCTACACATAGACCATCCAAAGCAAAGATTTAGGAAGGGGTACCAGGAAGCCAATCAAGTTATGGGAAAGGTCTCTGACCTCCACAAGAGTGGCGAGAGATGTAGACGCCCCTACTCAGGTGATCCCTGCTCTGGTTCTTATAGGAATAGCTATCTATACTCTTCACTCTTTTCCAATAAAGTCTCTTGTATCTTTAATGAAATACTGATACTGAGTTTATGATCTCAGTGAGCTACTCACCCCAGCTGAGCAGTGGTACTTGTACCCCGGATGGGACAGCATCTAAAACTCTAGTTCTTTATCAATGATCCACACTCTTTCTGTACCTTCTAACTGTCTCAATATGCGTACCACAGTAAAACAAATTCTGTCTGAAGATGGAAGAGAATTAATGGCTGCAGTTAATTTATTGCTAATAATTTGCAAATATAAGAATCTGATAAGGTTAGAATTATGAATAATGCACTTAGTAGAGATATATGATTATTTCTGTGACATGAAAAACAAAAGATAATGAAACCATTTTCCAAAATGATTATCAGTGTAATGACCAGGTTTATTTTCAGAAAAATTATTGAAAGTTAATATCTGACTTATAAAAGAGATGAACAGATTTAAAGAAAAAAACTCTTATGACATAGCATGTAATGATCCTGAGACAAAATATGCATCAAATACCAAGAATGCCAAGTAAAGAGGGTCAGTAACTCTAGAGAAGGGTCTAAAACACTGTATAAGTCTGGTGTTCATCTACAGTTTAGTAACACTGGTCAAGAAAATGGCAGCCTTTGTTGGGTGTGGATTTGATTTTGTTCTACTTACCAGTTACGAAAACATGCTTTTATTCTTTTCTAGGTGCTGGCAGAACTCATGAGACCCCTGAATCAAAGACAGTGGACTTTATTATCACACAAAAATGAAAATGTGCATTATTTTCCTTTTGCCCAAGACCCACAGGGCTGAAAGAAAGGCCTCAGGTAGATGTGATATGTATACAGTACAGGATTTATGTCACAAACAGAACGCTGAGTTTGTGAAAAGCCACTGCCTCTATGCAAAGGAGTAAACAGGCCTAGTCTTTGTTACTGGATCTCTCAGAGTAACTTATAAGAACACAGTCTTGACAATTGGCTCAGGGAAAGGCCAATGAGGACCTCAAATTCTTGAAATTCCATTAAGACGTAGGAATATGAGAAAGCTGTCTCTCCAACACATTCAGATGAAGAAAGTAAGATTGTAGACAACTAAATGTTTGAAGTAATAACTAAAATTATAATAGATATCAGTGGTTAACATATCACGTAAAGTACAATAAGACTCTGATAAATATAAAAGGTCTGAGAGAACTATTTTATAAGAATTTTGATTATTTCCTCAGAGGTTGAAATATATAATTAAAAGCAAAGTATTGACAAATATCCAAGGACCTTATATAAAGCATACTAGTCTTAAATTTTTATATTAACAAAATTTAGCTTTATAAATGTAATCTAGGAATGACTGAACATTTTTTCTAATTCAACAACTTTTTCTGTGCAACTCTTACAATAGTATCAAATCAATAAAATTCATTATTTCTGGCAGTTCTTTTTACAAATAAAAGGACAAATCTTCACAATTTTCCAAGAATCCTCTGGGAAAATTTCTCAAAGAGAGTTTACATAGCCTAAAATTTTTATTTTTTTCTATATTAACTAAATATAGGAAAAATAATCAAAGCATTTTTATAGGAAATTTAGCACCACATTTGGAGATAAGATTGTGGTGCCTGAGATAAAATGATGACTTACCTATTTAAGAAAAGTAACAGTAAAGCAATTAAAAATGAATGTGAAAATTAACATGATTGTAGAAATACTAGTTCTTTGTAAATGAAGATTCTTTGATATAAGAACCTTATATGACAATGAAATTAAGTCAACCATAAGCTCAAAAAGTTATGCTGGAGAAATATGGGGTGGGGTAGGGACCAGCAGGGTTGTTTTGTTGTTGTTGTTGTTGTTTTGTTTTGTTTTTTGAGATAGGGTCTCACTATGTAGTTGAGACTGACCTGGAACTCACTATGTAGCCCAGGCTGGTCTCGAACTTACAGTGATTCTCCTGCCTCAGCCTCCTGAGTGCTGGGATTACTGGCGTGCACCACCACGCTAGGCTGGGACCAGCAGAGTTTTCTAGATTCTTATCTGTCATGAATTGGACAATTGCCCTAAACAAGACAATTGGTGTTTATAAAAGATTACCTTTTATTTTAGGGCAAAAATAAGAAAAAGGAGAAGAGGCACAAAAGAAGTGCTCAGGGAGAAAGAAGTTCTTTGATAAGAGAGAAGACATGTCCTGCAAACAGAATGCACAACTAGAAGAACAGGAAGGCAGTGCTTCTCAAGCACCAGAGGCCATCCTTCAACGCCCCTTCGATAGCTGCTCCAGGGGGCCCCATTTAATCTTGTGCAGGAAGTTTGACATTAGTCGTCTAGTACTTTGCGTTCTGGTGTCAGAAGATTGGTATGGGGTACAGGGCGGCTCAGCTTGGTCTGTTTCACCCTCAGGTGCAGCTGTTCTGTGCTCCTGGTTAATACACATGTCTCTTCAGTTGGTAGGTTGTGCCCACGGCTCCAACCACAAGAGCCATGCCCTTATCTCCTACTACGCTGTCTCGTGGATTACATAAGAAGAGAAAGAACAACTTCCCATCTTGTAAACAAAAACAGTCAGCAAACTATGATAGTAAACTCATGAATGTCAAGTAAACTTTGCTACAATTTCAACACATTTCACAGCTTCTTTTTAGATACAAGTGTTATAAACCATGGCAAAAACATATATACTTTAAAATTTCAGTCTGCTTTATGTTTCTTCATAGTGTGGGTCAAACTGACATTTTATTTTGACACAGATATCAGGAAAATCATCTGGGCAGAAAAATTCCTAAAATATTAATGTTACCATGCAATATAGCATTAATGTACAGCATATAATATGGCTTTATCAGTGCTATATTAAAATTAATTAATGACTATTTTAAAATATCTGTTTTAAATTCTAATACGGTAAATATTGATATCTGTAACTTGCTAAACAAAACTTCTTTGACTCAGTAAGTTCCAAATGTTTAGGAATTGCATTAAAACAAGAGTACCCTTTCTCTCAAAACTTAAGTATACACAGAGTTGTGTTTTTCTGTCACTGCTGCTCTCAGTATAATTTCAGACATTCAAGTTAATTTTAACAGTAACTGAATAACCTGTCTCATAGAATACTAGGGCGAAGGAGTGGCTCAAAACAACTGTCTGTTACATATATTTAGGAGATGATCAAAGCTTATGGACACACGTAGCATGTCTTTCTACAGCTGCATCAGTATCTTTTCCCGTAATATGGCAAAAATGAACACATTTATTAACAAGCAAAATGCATGATATCCTACAGCATATGAAAAGAAGGGTGTAAAGTTGAATCTAATGACATCTATTTCAATATTATATGTTCCTTAGAAATTTTCCAACTATATAGTGATTACCCTCAAATTTTAACAAATTAATTAATCTTATTTCACCTAGTCAGTACAGGAGTTTGAAAATTGCCTTCACACTTCCATATTATAAAACAATTGCTGTTAAAAATAAAAAATTTTCAGCTGGGCATAGTGGTACACACCTGTAATCCCAGCGCTCGGGAGGCTGAGGCAGGAGGATCCCTGTGAGTTCAAGACCAGCCTGGGCTACATAGTGAGTTCCAGGTCAGTCTCAACTACATAATGAGACCCTGTCTCAAAAAACCATAAAAATAAAAAATAAAACTAAATAAAAATTTTTCAGAATCATTAATTCAGATAAGTACAAATTTACTTTTTGCAGTTATAATCATTGTGTAATTGTAATATTAATTTGTTTGATCAGTAAGCTTGAATAAGTTTAGTAAAAACAAGACTAATAAATAAAATGCATACTTTTATTTTAAATAATATTGATAAATCAGAGAAGACATAACTGTTTTTATGAAACTAAAATTATCAACCTAATTTCATTCACCACAGATACATCTTTATTACACAATCATGAATTTTTAAATCATTCCCATGTTAATTTATATTACAATGTTTTCATTAAGAAATTTAAAGTATTAGAAGTTTCTTTTTCTTGTTATTCTAGGAATTTTAGTGATATTTATTTTAATGTGTTTGTAATCTTAGAACTCCTTTAATTTTAGAAATTTTATAACCTAATTTATTAAATATCACCTAAAGGTTAGATGACAATTTATACTGTCACGAAGAGCTAAATAACCTAGAGAGATTTTAGCTTCACACTTGAAACATTAGTCACAGGTTGATTGTAAACAGAAAACCATAGAAATATCATCAGTCCAGAAATCAAAAAGCTGTATTCCTTCTCAATGAGCATAAAATTCTTAAGTACCAGGCATGGTGGCACATGCCTGTAATCTCAGAACTCAGAAGGCTGAGGCAGGAGGATCACTGTGAGTTTGAGACCAGCCTGGGCTACATAGTGAGTTCCAGGCCAGTCTCAACTACATAATGACCCTGTCTTAAAAGCAAACAACAAAAAAAAACCCCAAAATAAATAAATAAAATAAAATAAAATTCTTAAGTAATAGGAGCACAAAAACAGACAAATCAGCAAACAAAAATATTAACAAACCAGATTCCTTACTCTCTCTTTTCCAACAGTGATCCCTTTCCCATCTAAACAGATCATAATAGTTCCTAAGCCAAACTCTCAGTCTTTGAGCCACCAATTTCCATAACCTATTGACTACACAAACTAGGATCAAGAAAGAAAGCATAAAATAATTCCAAAGGAAAAATAAATCAGAAGCAGAGCTTAAGTAAATTTCTATTTTTCTTACAACTTGTGATTCCCCTCTGACAATCAAGAAGAGATGTGTCTGCACTCTGTACCACCCTACAGTACAACAGGCTAGGAAGGCAGATTATAGAATAGGTAAGGTGGAACCACTTGGCCCTAAAACTGTTCAAGCAGAATTTTTTAAGGAGGCCATAACCATGACCCCATGTGAATACAAAGTGAACATATGTCAAATATTTTATTTCATTCATCATTTATGAAGGAACCAATATACTGTTTGTATAAGAGGTTCAAAGGATTCATTGAAGAGCCAAATATGTAGAAAGCAGAAATATTGAAATACATTTACAAGTTAATATAAAACTGGCCTATTTCCTGAGAGGGAGGAAGATGGAGAGGAAGATCAAATGTGTTTCCACTGGGCAAAATTTGTTTACATTCCCACGGATATGAATTATTTGCATTGCTATTAGTTATCTACAATTGAAAGGGCTCTAAGACAACAAAAGTCACAGGCTATCCACAGTCATAGAGTAAGATAACCCTGAAAATGTATTAGACATTTTGTTTCTGGCATATTTTATAATATTTTTCATATATCAAAAAGAAAAAGTCTTTAAAACTATCACTCACTTTTCACTTTATATTAAATTTTGAAAGCAGAAATTATAAACTTCAAAGAATATTTACAAAAGAGTTGTCTCAGTTGTGAGAAATTAAGTCTTCCAAAAAAAGGAAATCAAAACATTCAGGTAAACAGAGAGGACCTCTTTCTTAAATAAAACTTATAACCTATCTATAGTTATGATTTTGTGCAATCCAATTGTAGAATGATTCAAATTTTATTTATGAGCTGGGTATGGTAGAACATGCCTATAATCCCAGCACTCCGGAGGCTAAGGCAGGAGGATCCCTGTGAGTTCGAGATCAGCCTGGACTACATAGTGAGTTCCAGGTCAGTCTCAACTACTTAGTGAGTCCCTGTCTCAAAAAAACAACCAACCAACCAAACAAACAAACAAATTTTACTGATGAAAGGAATCTAAGAATTAGCAGATCAAATAATCTAAGACAAGCATGCGAGTGTGAATAAGCCTTGATAAGCTGTTTAGATAGAATTGAAATCTGCTCTAACAAATACCCAGGAAGTTTGAAACAGTAAGTTTTTGCCCTCTCATAGGAAGGCCTTGGACTTACAGCTTTCTTGACTGTTTCTCCTTCAAACAATGATTTAGAAATCTGAACTCTCATTACACGGCTCTGCCACCTTGAGTCTCTCACTTCCAGTCTTACAGAACAAACAAATAAAAGATCTGCCAGGAAATTTTAGGCACTAACCTTGGAACTGACTTTCAGTATGGCTCTGGTGGTATCTTTGAAGTAGGCACATGGTCGAACTGAAAAGAATCCTGCAAAATGTATCCATACTGTATGCACAGAAAAAGGCAACAAAGTTCTGAGCAGGTAACCTTTCACTTCCATGATCATCCTTACTGATATAATTAATTTCCCATTAAGAGTAATTTCTTTAAACACAGATAATATTTTGGCTTATCTCTTTCAGATTCTCTTAACTGTATCTCTGTGACCTTTTAGTTAGTGGGAATGGCCCAGCTCTGACTGTCACCCTGAAGACCCGATCTGGGAGGTTCCTAACAAGAGCTACACCGCATTCACAAAGGACAACAAATGGAATAAAGGAGGAGAGGAGCAGAAATGGGTATCAATGCGTCTTTCAACGCTTCGAGCATCATCAGCTGTTTGTTTCAATATTTTGTATGTCATCAGCACTTTATCTGACAGCTCCATTTGTTCACTTTTCATACTTCTTTTGAGAGGCAGCACGCAATAGTTGCATTTTCGAGCAGCTCATTAATCTTCCCTGTTAAGGGAAGATTGGTCCTCACCACCTATCATCACACCTCTCTCGTGATGTGACATCATTTCCTCATTTGCTGGGATAAAAGCCAAACAATAGAAAATTGCACAAGCATCCGAATTGCTACACTTGTCTATTTGATTTGCAGAACACCTTGGAAATATATAAGGGAGAACCTAGTCACTGATGAAGTGCTATCTACCCTGTCCCCACACTTGAATTTTTTTCTAGAAGGTTCGTGCTCAGTATTGAGAAACTCGAACGTGCCCAAGTCAATTAGGTGGCTTACCCAGTACATTAAACTCAGCTGTGCCATTCAAACCACTTACCACACAACAGAGGAACAGCAGGTCTCTCTCGTCCTTCAGCATCCCTGAGGAGCTTCTCTTCTGCAACACCGAATAATATTAGCCATGAGCTGATGGTTGCATTTAAGGCAATTCTGGCAAGTTTCCTTACAGAACATGAGCTGTGAAAGTTGTGATTTTATTTATAAATAACACATGAGTTAATTCCTATCCAGAAGGTGATGCTGAAACACTGCACAATGGAATGTGCTCAGAAAGGGTGTCACGCAGCAATGACCTTTCACAGGTCGTAAGCATGAAAAGTTTACCTTTAGTGGAGTCCTCGCTCTTCCTCTCTGTCATCTCATCTTGAAATCTGAGTATTGGAAACTGTAGGAAAAGTAGTTGATTTTGGCATTATAGCAGTTCATCAATATATATGTGCAACTGCGAAACATACTGTTAACTAAATTAGATGAACTTGTTTCTCTACAAGAAGACAGTGAAGTGATGATGGCTTATAATTTGGAAAGAAAATCCTGTAGTGTATTTACATTGTTTGCTCTCAAGCCATACTGGTGTGAAGACTGAAAAGGAAAGAAAGAAAAAAACTATAAGTCTCCACAAACAGGGGAATGAACAAATTGTACTGCCTTCAAATGACAAAATAAAAGTGGTAGAAAGAATAAACTACAGCCATGCCTATAGAAGGAAAAAGTCAAATGAACAAATAACATGTTGGTGTAAGATTATTTGCATAAACTTTAAAATATACAGGCCTATGATGTACTATCACGGGTTCCATGTAGTTAATGTATCAGAAGCACAGTGTTACAGTGGGTGATATTCACTTTA